GTTAGTATTGTACATCCTGTGTGTTGCGCTGCGAGAGGAAGAAGTCCCCGCCCCACCGCGGCGGAGGCGGACAGCACCTTGTCCGCCTCCGCCTGCCTCTTCCCAGGCCCGGGAGAGCTCCTCCTGGGGGCCCCCTGCAGCCTGACTTCATTTGGGGCAAGCCTCTTCTCAGCCCCTATGATTGTAGCACCCGCCCCCAGCCCTGGGACGGAGCTCCTCTTCCCTCGGGTCCCGCGCAGGAGAGAGGGTGTTAAAAGAAGGATAGCAGAGTAGCCATGTCCCAAGCAGCCGTGCAGACACTGCTTCAAAACAGCCTTTGCTGTGCCCTTCCAGGTCCCTCTGTTCTCACTTGGGCCCTGCGCACTTCACCATCGCGCTCACCTGCGTTCGGGCCGCGAACGGGGCCTGTTGCCCCTGCCCCTGCCCCTGCCCCACAGGCGCGTGCAGAGGCAAGGATCGCCCGGGTGGTGTGGACTGGAGAAGGAACTGAGAAAGGAAGGATCCCAGAAAAGCAGAGAAAGAGCAACCAGGACACATGACATTGCTGCAGGGAAAAATGCTAAGGTAGAAAATGCTCTTAAAAGGAATATTCAACAAAATAAAGCCAACCTCTCAGCAGGTTGAAAATAAGCATGGGGAAATGAACCGGAGAGTTAAAAATAGAGCTGGAGAGAGAAGGGAGGAAAGGAGTGGGATATAGTAACTGTTTATTAAGAGAGTGCTGACTTTGAAAGAGAGGTGGATAAACCAGTGTTTTGGGGTTGTTGGGGGTTGGGGTTTTTTGCCATTTCTAGCAACAACACAATTCTGAGCTTTTGTTCCAGCTCTGAACAGGAAATTATGCTGTATTCCTCTTTGGATTCAAACCCCTTTGCACGAGGTAGATCACACCTGTTTTCCTTTTCAGAGAATTTTGTAGCTAGGGTGTGGTGAGCTGTGACCTGCCAAGGAGCTGACTGCTCATCTCATTCCTGTTTGATAGAATGACATCATAGGCCTAGAACAGCATTCTCAGCCAGGGTTTCACAGCATGAGGTGTGAGGAGATAAGCAAATAAGTGAAGGCTTAGGCGTGTCCCTGCCTGGCCGATTCCCCACCCCCACTGCCCAGTCCCTCTACAAGGAAGTAAACACTGATATATTTATATATTATATAGACTGTTATCTATATCTAGCATACTTACCCAAATTCAAAACAGCTTTGTATTTAAGGTGACCCCCCAGTAATTAGATTCTGTATATGGAAAAATTATAAATTTGTTATAATTTTCCATGTATAAAATCGGAGGGTCATCTTGCAGTTGCTACCAGCCCCACCGCTGCAGCGGAAGTGGGGAAGGTGGGAGGTGGGGGCAGGTTACTGGACAGAGCTAGGGCCAGAGGGTAAGCAGCAGGGAAAGGGAGCAGGTAGAGGGGTGGAGGTGGTAGCAGTGGGGGTGGCAGGCTGCAACTGCAGCCCTGACTCCTGGTCAGAGCTGAAGTCAGAGCTGTAGCAGGTCTCCCTCCCTCCCTGCCCCACCACTTTGTACTTGAATCCAAGATGAACTGCTTTTCCCCCCATGTTAAATGGAGAAAAAAACCCTTATTTTGGATTTGAGTAAATACAATAAATTAGTTTTTGAAGTTCACAAACGTTATGGACGGGTTCCTTGAGTCCAATGTAAGAGTGCCTCAAGTCCAAAAAGGTTGGTCTAGAAGGAATCTCCTGCTTCATGAAGCCCAAGTCCCTGTCAAAGACAACCGCATTTTACACAACCTCTTTGATAAACTGGTCAAGTTCCATCTTAAAACTAGTTAATCTTTTGTCTCTAGTTTTTTGTTCTGAATCTCAGTCCTGTGATGGCTAGAAACTTTTTACCAATTTGCAGCCTGTATCTGTGCACAGCTGATTTATGTCTATTTGGTTTTGTGCCAATATTGTCCTTTAGCTTGAATTGTTCTTTTTCCTAGGTGTTTACCCCCTGGGTGTATTTATAGACAACTTTTTTCCTTGCAGCTAATTAAGTCAAGTTTTTCCAATATCTTCTCACAAGATAGACCATCCACTTCTCAGATTATTTTAGTATACCTTCTCTGTACCTGATCAAATTTGAATTCATTTTTTCTATAACCTGCATGACCACAATTGTACATAGTATTTTAAATGATGTCTCGCAGGAGCTGGTACAATGCTATTAATACTTCCCTACCTGTCCTGGGAATACCTTACCTCTTACATCCTAGAATCACATTTGCTTTGTTTCATGGCTGTTACATTCATAGACAGCTTGTGATTGACCAGTACACATACAGGTCTTATGTTTCCTCTGTAATTTCCAAAAGATGAGCTCTCAAACTGATAGCTCAGTATTTTGCTATTAGTTCCCCAAATGCCTGACCTTATACTACCAAACTTTCTATTCCAAGCCTTCAAGGTTGCCCAGTTCCTCCCGTATGGTACTTTTACCCTTCTCATCATTGACAGTGCCTCCCAATTTTTTGTCATCAGCACATTTAATTAGTAGATTACTTTCTGTGCCAAGGTCATTAATTAAAATATTAAACAAGATTGGTCCCAAAGCTGATCTTTGAGGAATTCCACTATTAAATGTCAGTCAGCAAGATAGTTCTTTTTCAAACATGAACTGTTGTCATCTCCTTTTTTACCAGTTTTTAAGCCATTTAATAATCTCCATCTTCTCCAGTTTAAACTAATAACTTTTCATGTGGAACTGTAACAATGGTTTTAATGAAGTCTAGACATATTCAATCAATTGTATCTCCTTTTATCAAACAAACAGATTGGATTAGTCTAGTGTAAATCTACCTTTGGTAAATTTATGTTGTATTTGATCCTATTTTTTATTCATTTTCATGCCTTTACTTATTTTTCCCTTCAAAATTTACCTAATGTTATAGTCAAATTGGTGGGGTTGTAGTTCCCCAGATCTCTTTTTTTCACAATTTAAGTACCATATCAAGTATCAGTACTATATTTGCTATTCTCCAATAACACAAGGCTCGATAGGTTTATTAAAAATCCTTGCTACCTGACCTGTGATTTAATGTGCTAATTTATTCCAGTACTGGCAGGGAGATTATCCCATTCCACCTATTTCTCTCCAGTTAAGCACATAAGGTTCAGCCAGTTTTGTTTTTGCTTCTGATGGGGTCATTTCCATTTCCATACCGTCACTGTAATTTTCCATCCTACCTTTGCTCCTGTGATGGACTGCATGTTTTGTAGTTAATAAAAATATCACAATATTCACGTTGTTATAATATTGTCTGGCTCTGGTTACCTTCTTAGCCTGTGCACAGAGAAGGAGGATTTAGGTGCCAAAGCTGGCCACAGAAGAGAAGACATGGCCCTTTAGCATCAGCAGTTGGGAATGGCTGTATTGGCTTATCAACACAGGTGAGATGGCCAGTACCCAGAAGTGGGAGGGCAGATAAACACGGCAAAAGGGAGAACAGGCTGGAAAAAGTAGCCTGGCAAGTCTTGGACCAGTAGAGTCTGGAGGGATGAGAGAAGCTGGAAGAGCAATGGGGAGCTGGAAAAGACTGGAAGGGAATAGCTGAGTATCTTTGGCGGTGGTCAAGCTGTGCAGGCTAGATCAGGAGTGGAGAGACTTTGGACTTAGAGGGACCTTGGCTGGCTGGCCCTTGTCTCAGTACCGAAGAGACTATTTTGCGCTACTTGGAACAGTGAGTTACACTGGGTCACCCCAGGAGGAGGTGAAGTTTTGTCTCTTGGGAGCAGAACTGGATGCTAGTTCCTTGAAAAAGGGTTACAGAGAACCTGGGAGGCTGAGGAATCGCATGGCCAGGGTCGCAGAATGGAAAGATGCTCAGGCTCCCCCATTGTTCTAGAAACCAAGCTTGAGCTAGCTTCAAGGTGTACTCTTAGAGACCAGACAAGACTTCCTGAGCAAGCACCCCCCAGCACTCCATGACAGTATCAGTCTAATTTTCCATCTAGCCTTTGCCCCGATATATAGTATCACCCTTCTTTAAAATGTAGGCAAAACATTTTGGTTTTTTGGCCATTCTAATACTGTCATTTAATTTCAGTACCATCACCACTATAAAGCCACTCTTTCATCTTTCTTTGCTCACTTTTTTTTTTTTTATATGCCTGAATAATCTGTTGCCATTTGTTTTAATCTGCAGTTTGTAACTCAGCTTGGCTTTTGGCACTTCTCCCTTTTTTTCCCCTGACATTTTCTAACCAGTAACAAATAGCTATCTCTGCTGATCAACAGGGATCCAGATGTTACATATCCCACGGAAAAATATGGATTTTTACCCTTTGAAGTGAGAAACTGTGGGTTTCCCCTTGCAGGCTGGCAGAGTTCTAGCCTGCAAAGAGATGCCTGCGGCTGGGGGAAGTGGGGGGAAGGTGATCAGAGATAAGGGGTACCACGTGCATGTGAGCATGCACACACACACAGACAGCAATACAGCCAGGCAGGGTGGTGGGAGCAGCCCTAGCTGCTAGATACAGGTAAATCTATGGGATGGGGTGGGGTTGGAGGGCCAGGGCTAGGGGACTGTGCCTTTGCCATCAGGGCCAGGGGCTGAGCTCTGGCAAGCCTGATCTGGCCTTGCAGATCAGGGGGCTCCCTGATGGCACAAGGGCAGTCCGGGCACACCACAATTTGGTGCACAGCTCCGATGGCACATGGCCAATCCGAGCCATAAGAGCCAAGCTCTGGTAGGCCCACAGTGGCCCTGCACCACTGGGGGAACCCCCACAATGGCACTGGGGCAATCTGGGCACCCCCATTGGCAAGGTTTTAGAAGGGTCATGGG